AAAAAAAAAAAAAAAAAAAATGGCCGTACCTAACTCCCCTGGTCTTGGTGTTTGTTCATAAACGTGTATGTTTATGAACCATTTTCCTATTTATTGCATTTGACCCTCTCTAGCCTGGAAGGCTGATTCAATGATTTCCTTTCTGAGCTGGAGGAAGCTGGAGCTCCGACAAGTTAGATGGGACTCTCCCAAGGCTGTGACTTCACAGGAGTCAGCACAGGGGTAAAGGCGATTTGACTCCGTTCTGGGGGGAATCACACAGGAGTGTGGAGCGGGCTGCTACGTCATGGCCTTCCCTGACTTGTGGGGTTCCATGCCTGCCCTTCCAGGGGGTCCGAGCACTCCCACCTCCACCGGGACGATGGACCCGTCCTGTCCGAGGAGTGCAAAGCCAGCCCTCAGGAGGCAGCCGCTCCCTCATGAGTATTTATTATCCTCATTAACTAAACTCAACCACTAGGTAAAAAGAAATTAATACGTTTGATATAAACATAAAACAGTAAGCTGGGGCATAATGGAATCCATTTCCAGGCAAGTGGGAATTACCTTCATCACATTGTTGTGAATCTCTCCCAGAAGGGAGGGGAGAAGGCTTTGAAGTGTCCCTGTTGGAGGGGTGGGGGGAGCTCTCCAGCCCCAGGGGCTGTGGGCACAGCAGGGGAGCAGGGGGTGCTGGCAGTGGGGGGTGGAAAGAAGGGAGAAAGGCCTGGCTGTGCCCTGCTCCCAGAGGCAACATCAGAGTAAACCCTCCTTTGGATTTTCGCATTTCCTGGACTGCAGTGAAAGTTCAGAAGTCGAGTGCCCTGTTTTAGTAAGTGCTCCGTTTTCCAATTCCCAAGACCCCCCTGGGAAGGGGTGTTGCCCACTACAGCCTTCCCAGATTCCCTTTCCCCTTCCCCCATGTAAGGGCAGCCCAGAGGAGTATCCCAGGCCTGGGATGGAGAGAGGGGAACTTGGCAGGCAAGAGGACAGACGCCTGTTCAAGTCCCAAGTCCTGTGCTGGGCGAGGGAGCGGGGGAGGAGCAGAGAGGGGAGAACAACAGGAGAAAAACGGGAGAAGGAGAGGAGGATGCACAAGGATCAGGGCTTGGGGGAGACAGACAGAGAGAGACAGAGATACAGACAGATATAGGGAGAGACAGAGAGAGAGAGAGAGACAGAAAACCGGAGACAGAGAGAGGAAGAAAAAACAGAGGCCACAGAGGGGGTGAGAGGTGGGTGGTGATGGACGTTGGAGGAGAGACAGGCAGGCGAGATGACTCCCGGGGCCAGGACGGAGGGCGGTGAGTACCGAGAGGGCCTGAGCTGGGAGTCCTGGCTGAGGGGACAGGGCCCCGGGGGGCTGCCCCGGGTCAGTGCCCAAGGCTGGAGACTCAGGCCTCCCTGAGCACTCAGATTTCCAAAGCAGGTTTTTGGTTTTGGTTTTGTTTGTAGAGAACAATTTAACCAGTCTAGAGAGCGACCAAGAAATTAACTGCTCAGGTGACCCTGGTGAGCAGAACAGGGGAGGGCTGATGTAGGCTGTTCTGGGCAGAGGATACCTGCTGTCCTGCTGGGTCTGGAAACCCCAGGAGGATTAGGCACTGGAGCCTGCAGTTAACCTCAGTGTTCCCGCAGGATCACCAACGGGGCGTCTTGGCCACCTCTGAAACCCCCCTCTCGCCACACCTGGGCCCATGACAAAGCAGATTCCTGGCAATGACAGGGGATAGCTGCGA